AAGAAAGCTCATCGCGGGTACTGTCTTTCAGAATGCTTAGTGGTAAATCTCAATAGAATAACCTCTGAAGAAGCTGTATTTCTGTTTTCACCAAACTCTGGTAGTATCACTCCAGGAAATAATCCTATGTCTTGCTCAGAGCAATGGACATGCAATGATGTAATTTTAAAGTTGTGATTTTTTAAAATTTTGTGCAAATTTTCAGTCACTCAAAGATTATTTTAGATTGAAATAGATGTATAGAATCTGTAAGGCATTGCTGACTCTGTCTTGGGAGAGAAGAGCAAAAGGATTCAGCTTTTCAACTTAGCAAAATGGGTGCTAAGATGGTTATCAGCTGCTCTCGAGGAAGGAGATACCAGGGCTATTTAAAATAAAGGACAATCCTGTTGTTCACATAGGAAGGAGCATAATCTGGTTTGAGTGTATTTGGGCTGGAAACTAAGGGAGCTTTTTATCCATGGGAGGCAGAAGGGTCTGGAAGGTGCTTCCATTGCGGGAGCTTTGGATGGAAAACAGAGAGTTTTGAGATTGACCTTGATCAATTGGTGATAGGGATTGTATCCTCAAGTGGTAGAGACTCAGCTGTGATGACCCTTTAGATCCCACTTACCTTCTATCTTTTGTCTCTCTAACACTGCAGAGGTCTCTAACACTGCTGCACAGTTGCAGCGTTTCTGTATAAGAACAGGATGCGATGAACCCTTCTTTGGAAATGAAATTTTGCCTTTAAATAACTTTTGGAAGATGTAAATTTTAAGCCTGAACATCAAGGGGCCTCTTTATGGGCGAGTTAAACTTTGATGGGAATTCATCTCTTGGGGAAGTTAAAAATTAAACTACTAGTTCATTTTGTTGTTGATTTATGATCATTTATGTCATTTATGATCTTATTTATACGCAGCTTGCAGTTATGGCTGGAGCATCATTTTCTCCCTTAGCCACAGTGATTATGAGACCCATAAAGGTTGCTAACGTGTGTTATGGCTGACTGAAGAATCATGGAAAGCCATTTATCCTCTTTCTGGATACCCCTACACATATTTTCATAGATATGCTGAAGATAATGTAATACTTTGATCTTCATAATTATGATTGTTCTTTTATTGGTAGCTCTCTAATTATCTTCACGTCAGAACCAGTTGCTTTGCATATGTTATTGAAACTGAGTCATCATTATTAAAAAATAAAAATTATTTTCTCACAGGGTGTGATTCCTTAGTCATATATTCCTCATTAGATTGTTGAAATGCACTTTTATTCTTCCCTATGAGATGTTTATTGCTGATTGGTGTTAATGCCAGAGGTGTTGATTTTATATCTCCTTCTCAGCGTTGTTGCATCATAACATCTGACCCAACAATTCCAAACATTTCCCAATGCTGTAATTTCATACCATCAACAGATGCCCTTTCCTTGTCTCTCTTTGTCCCTCTCTTTTTTTTTTTTTTTTTTTTTTTTTTTTTTTTTTTTTTTTTTTTTTTTTTTTTTGAATAGCTGATCTAACTAAGCTGCCTGCTGTAACTGTATCACAAAGACTTAAACTTTAGACTTTCTCTTCTGTAACTCCTGGGTGTTTCCACGTCTCTTATGCATTTTTGGTGCACCATCCCGTGGACACGGCTCTTTGGCCAGAGATGGCTGTTGTGAGTCAATTTGAACAAACTGATTTACTTCCCAAGCCAAAAAAGCCAGGTCTCTTAAGGTGCCATTAACATTCATAACCCTTGCGATGACAGAAAAAAGTCAGACATTTTCTGTTGTAGGGAGTATAGAGGCTCCTCAGCCATCTGAAGAGACTATTAGAGCTTTGAAATCATATCTTCCCCTGGAAGACTCTTTGCTCATAATGCACCCGTGAGCCTCTGTAAATCAGAAAAGTTTGTTTGAAGTAACGATGTTATGAAACCTTTCCAAGTGCTGTTTACTCACTGGTGAAATCAGATGCAGAGCCACAAACAGATGCTCCAAACTCCAAGAGAACCAAAAGCAGTCAGTGGTTTTCACAGAAACTCTGATGCCATTACTGGATATGTGTCTTTAATCACACAAGTGGGAGAGTACAACTTCAGAAGCAACTTCTGATAATTAATTGTTCTACAACAAATGAGTCAACTGTGGTCTTGGTAAGAAAAGTGCTACTCCCATGAGTTTCATCAGGAGCTCCATCTGTGCATTCCTCATCCATCGCCCATCACCCTTCAGCATCACTCACCTGTGCATTTCTTCAGTTTGTTCAGAGTGAACAATTTCCACAGCCCCACATTCTATTCTTATTTTCCTCTTATGTGACTCCCTGGGATGGACCTTTACACCTTGCACGTGTATAGACCTATAGAAAATCCTATTAAATGTGAGCTATTTTAATTCTACAGTCTATCTAAATTGTTAGTTCAGTAGCCCTTCCTACCAGTGAAAAAGGAAAAGTTTAAAGGTAATTCCCAAGAGAAATTAAGCTCTTCCAGTATAGCAATCCTTTCCTGTTCTCTTTCTCTCCAGTACAGCAATCCTTTCCTGTTCTCTTTCTCTCTCCCTGCTAGAATACGTTGTTATTATCAATGATGTTAACTAACTGAATTCTAAATTCCTCCCTGCCAAAGCCTTTTTTTTCCTTTCTTGTAGATCTTTTCAGAACAATAAGCAACTCTGTCGCTTTTCCTAAGAACCGTGGATGAAGTGAAGCGAGTGCCAGGAGCAGGCAGCGATATCAAAATACCTGATTGAACACATGACCAGGTTTCTGGAGCATCTGCCCACGTTAGATGGAGGCAGCGAGGCATGCTGTACGTTTGGCATGCCTCTGGCACGTTTCATGCTTTTTCCCCAGGACAGCCCTTGCCCCATACGTTGATGGAGGTTAGCGCCGCATGAATCAGTGGCGATATGCAAAAGGCGTTGTGCGACTCCACCAGCCATCTCATCCTGCTGCAGTGACTGGCAGTTTTGCAGTGCGCCCACTCCTTTCAGCCTGAAGATTTTGCATAGCTTTGGTTTTGCAGCTTTAACTTAAGACTCTTCATAGTGCTGCCTATTCACAAAGATGTTACACTCTTACAAATTAGTTCAGAAACGGGGAAAGACATACTGCCACTCTGGTGTTCCCTGGAGTTCTCTGGGTGTGGAAGACCGTATCTTTGATCGTTCTGATACTTCTCTGTGCTTCTGGAAGATTAGAAGGAAGCAAAATAACCTTTCAGGGTTATTTATATACAGTAGTTCAAGTTTCCATAATCCTGTCTCAGAAAAGACGTCTTCTTAAGCTGTTTTGGTTATGTTAAGTACATCTGAGATGTGAATGAATCCCAGCAGCCTTTGGAGATGAAAGTCATGTTTGCGTTTGCTTACATCATTTTCTATACTGTTAAAACCTGAAATGAGCTTTGTTTCCTTTGGAGAAGGGCTTTTGTTCGTACAAATTCCTGATGCTGGACTGAAAAAAGTCAGTTTGGAAACCCAGTTTTTCAACATGAATCGAAACATCTCTTCTCTGTGGACACTGACTGCAGGCTGCAATTTCGATATTGTGATGGCAGAGCCAAGCCACATGATGACTTAAAGAAGACCTAACCTAAATAATACTCTTGTAAGTTGTTTATGATGAGAAAACCTTTCATTGCATTACCCTAACAGAACAATACCTTCAGTCTTAGGTGAAACAGCAAATACCAGAGACCAGATTCGATAGGTGCAGAAGGGAACAACAGGCACTTGTTACAGAATGAAACCTGGCTGATGTTGTGCATCTGATGCATGCAACTGTAGATTGAAAAGGGGCTTCACTGTCATCTTCAGAAAGCAAAGTATTTATAAAATTGCTTTTCTAATATAGTATTGCCCTCTCATCTCCAATTTTATTGCATATTTTATCTTCCTAAGCAACAAAATATAGAAAATACTTTCAGTGGATGAAATGTGTCTCTCATCCCTTTAAAGGCATGGTATCAGCCAATTGAGTGTACTGACAAAAATTGGGTTCTTGGCATTATATTGGTGTTTAAATTGAAGTTTCTATTGTAAAACATAGGAGTGGGTTTGGTGCCTGACACTGAAGGCAACAGGCACACTGCTTTGTTGGCTGTATTTCCTAACAGAAGTTAGAAAGACGTAATTCTCTGCGTCGTCAAAGGTGTAGAAATACTTGATGTCAGGAAACCTGTATGTACTGGAACAACCTATACTGAGTCACACCTTTCCACAGGAACTCTAGCTATGATGAGCTGAGTAAAGCCAAAGATTAATGGACTCAGGTGAGTCATAGTAGTGGCATTGAGCACAGTTTAGTACATTAATAGTTAATGAAATAATCTTCAGAGAGTTGCCCATCATTGGTATTTTCTTTCGCCTTTCACTCACATCATTCAGGTCTTTCGTAAAAAGTAGAAAGGCAAGGGGACAGAAAGCGATCCATTAGTGGCCATTAGAAAACAAAATGGTAACTGGTATGTAATTTCACAGGAAGGAGAAAAATTGTGTCAAGAATGGATTTCTGTTTTCAACTTTGTACCTCTTGCTTTTAAGCAGAGAATTGTGACAGTCTCACCTGACTGACAGTTCCCACAGGCAGAGCTTGGACGTTGTCACACTTCATACAGCCACACTCAGAATTAGTGACATTTCCTCTTACTCAGTGCTATTATCTCAGCATGGTGTCCATTTTCTTAGTGCAAAATAGATTGTTCTGAGCCCGTGTTACAAAGTGTGATGGGACAACCTGTATTTGATTGGTTACCTTGATAGATACCCGTTCAAAGTTTGTTAAATTAAATTTCTCAGACACATTGTTTCTATTTGCATTGCAGAAGGAAAGTTTTATTAGAGGCAGTGCTATCAGAAGAATTTAAGCCCTTAAAACACCAGTTGACAAAGACAGGTTGAGTAAGGCAAGCGTTGCAGAATGGGAGAAGGGGTAATGAGGCAGGTGATCAGGAACTCCTTCCGAATTGTGCAGTTGTATCAGCTGTGCTGCGGAAGTGCTCAGTTCAGCCTCTCGTTGTCCTTGTTCAATGTGCCTTCGTTGGGAGGATGCCAGCAGCACTGCTGTTGTCTAGCACACTCTTGGCTGTCCTGTGTAAAGACAG